GAAATAAAAAAAAAAATCAGAGGTCATTGTGGTGTGGCTCCAATCTACCTGAATTCAAAAGGCCAAGCTTAATCATTTACTATCTGGCCCCTTCACATTTATTCGCCCCAGGCTTCTAAATGTTCAGCCTGGGCTGCAAGCAGCTTCCCATGGGTGCTTACCTCCTGCTATTCTTTTCTTATTGTACTGCAGATTGAACCAGGATCCTCCTCATGCATGCTAGGCAAGCACTCTACCACTAACCTACATTCCCAGCCCCTCCTCCTGGTTCTTTTCTCCTGTCCTATTCCTTCTGACTGCTTCCTCACCCTGCCGGCACAGGCTCAGGAACTGCCCCTTGTGCACACACCATGCTCTGCAGGGGTCCTTGTTTGGCACTTGCAATCAGCCCCTTCTCCACTACATTCTCTCTAGGACTGCCTCCCCTGCCAACTCTATTTTCAGGCAGCTGCTCCAGAGTTCTTGGGGAGAAGGGTGGTGACCTCATCACAGTATCATAACTCTCTCAGAAAGTCCTTCCTACCCAGCAGAGCCACCCCTCCATCCAGCCCGCCAATGGGCTGACTTTCATAGAGCCAGGTGATCCTCATAATTGGAAGTGGTCAAGCCAAGGTCCAGTGAGCATCCATCACGATAATGACAAGAGACATCTAGCCTTGAGGGTGGAGGTTGAGGTCTCCTCCAACAGGAAGATACTGGGATCTCAGATCTACCCAGCATGACTAATTTCATTTAGGCTCTGCTTTCTCAGTTCAGTGATTCCAGAAGCAGGGGGCCTTGGGGTGCCCAGAGTGAGGGCTCTATGAAGGTGTATTGAATAAACATGTCATGCACAGGGCCTGGTCCTTTGCATCTCAGAGCCCACTTCCCCGGGAAATAGCTGTGACACAAAGATCCTGAAATTGCATCTGTTCAGGGGGTTCCTAGGACTCACATCTGTAGAAGTTGGTGTGTGAGTGCATTTTGCGGGGGGGGGGGGTGCAAAGTACATATTAGGGAAGGTTTTCCAGAGAAATAGAACTAATCTGGAAATCTATGAGATTTATTATGAAATCGGCCCAAGTGATTGTGGAGGCTGAGAAGTCCCACCATCTGCTATCTGCATTCTGGAGACCCAGAAAAGCTAGTGGTGGAATTCAGTTTAAGCCTGAAGACTTGAGAAGCCAGCACATGATGTCTAAGCACCAGGGGTGGGATGGGGGGTGATGTCCCAGCTCAAAAAGATAGAGACTTTGCTCTACTTCTGTATTTTTTGTTCTCTTTAGGCCATCACAGAATTTTAGGATGTCCATTCACACTGGAGAGGGTGATCCTCTTTGCTCAGTCTACCTATCCAAGTGCCAATCTCTTCCAGAAAGACCCTCACTGCCGCCCAGAGATAATGATTACTTGCAACCTGGACATCCCTTAGCAGGTCAAGTTGACACATACAATCAGCCTTGACAGGCATCACAGTTTCATAAATTGACAAGAGGTTCTGGACATAATAAAGGTCCTAGCTGGACCTGGTAACTGTAAAATCCAAACTGAGTTGTGGGTGTTTGGGAAAAGAGAAAGAAGAGAGGACAGTGTAAGATGTCTAATAAGAGTCTCAGGGGACTCTGAATCTTAAGGCAAAGCATAGGCCTGCAGTCACACCCAAATCCCAATTGCCTTATAGAATGGCAGACAAATGTAACTGCGTTTTGTATATTTTTTTCTGCCTTTCAGTAGGTCTTTGGAAAACACTCTCTCTCTTTTTTTTAATACCAGGGATCGATCCCAGGGGCACTTAGCCACTGAGCCAAAAATCCCTAGCCTTTAAAAAAAAAAAAAAAAAAAATATATATATATATATATATATATATATGCATACATACATACACACACACACAAACACACACATATTATTTAGAGAGCATCTTGCTGAGTTGTTCAGAGCCTTGCTAAGTTGCTGAGGTTGGCTTTGAACTCATGATCCTCCTGCCTAAGCCCCGAGGGCCACTGGGATTACAGCTGTGCACCACTGTGCCAGGCTGGAAAACACTACTTTTTTGGTGAAGGAGAAAAGCATTAAGAAAAATATCCAAGTCATCATTCAGGAATACAAAATTATCAGAATTTTGTCATGGCAAAGACAATCCTCAGAGCAGTGATGAGCTTCCAAAAACTCTTCTAGAACTCCTACTAGGGAGGAGTAAGAATGAGCTGAAGAGAGAGGCTCAGGAAAGAAGGACTTGGCCAGTGTTTCCTGCTCAGACCAGACCCCTACCCTAATGGGAATATTGGCAGCAAGGAAACATTCTTGGCAGATGGTAAATTTCTTCAGCTAAATTGGTTCGACACTTTTGTTTTCAACTTTGAGATATTTTTGGAGGGCTAAGGATGGAAAAAATGCATGATCTCTTTTTCAGATAATTGCTCATGCCCTGTTTTTGTTTAAGTTCTTGGAAACTCAGAATTGCAGGCTGTGAAGTGGGAAGGCCCTGGACCTAAGAAGGCTCTGTGCATGGTAGTTCTAGAAGGGTCAGGATTAGGCCATGGGTCCAGGGCTTCCTTGCTCTTACCTCTTTACCTCTGGACAAGGTGTAGGGAATTGAGGGACCAGCTATACAGCTGCTGCTGAGTGCACAGGATTAACAGTTACAGGTTTTTTTTTTTTTTTTTTTTGGAGGGGTGGGGGGGGGGGGGGGGGCATTAATGGAGAATTTAAAGGTTAGACATTGCATGAACTGTCATTCAAGTCACAGATGTTTCAGAAATAAGGGTACAGAGTCAGGGTACCCAGCCCCACCTGGTTAACTCAGCATGAGGGAATGAGGTAGGAAGGATTATTTTAGGGGAGGCTGCCTGACAGAAGGGTGGGGGAACCCCAGCATGTGGTCCTACAGGGTCTTCCTAGTTATTTTTTGTGGGGCAGGGTGCAGGTACTAAGGACTGAATCCAGGAGAGCTCTACCAGTGAGCTACATTCCATTTTTCTTTTTTATTTTAAGACAGGGTTTTGCTAAAGTCGCCAAGGCTGGCCTTGAACTTTCAATCCTACTGCCTCAGTTTTCTATGTTACTGGGATAACAAGCATGCACCACTGTCCAGCGCATGGTTTTCCTAGTTCTGAGCAAACTTACCAGTATTAGCTCCTGCAAATGGGCATCCTAACACCTTATGAAGTTCAAATTCCTGTAGTGGTTCAGTGACCAACACGGACTGAGACATCCTGCAAGCTGGGTAGCACACTGTTGGCTCCCAGTGGAAGAGATGTTTAAGCAATGATTCAATAAGATGATAGGAAGGATGGCGCAAGCAGGCACCTGGGCAGAAATTGAGAGAACAGCTTAAAGGCTGGATGGTTTTGGATCCTTATCAGGCTCCACCTCCAACCAGCAGGGTGACCTTGGGCAAATTACCTAGGATTTGAGACCACATTTTCTTATCTATACTAAGGGGATCCTAATAGTTCCGGCCTGGCCTCTGTTTTTAGGTCAGTTGATTGTGACCTCTTCCCTGCCTTCCCTTAAGGTAGGCTGGGGTTACCCGGCAGGGAAAATGTCTGCCTTCTTTCCTAAAGTCCAGGGCCCAGAGCTCAGGAAGCCTGCACTTCAAGAAATGAATGCCAGCTCCTTTTGGGAAGAGAAACAGTGCTACTACTTTCCAGAGCTTCAGGGGGTAAGTCTTCCCCCAAAGCTGCTCTTTTACCTCCATGGCTTTGGAGTAGAATCAGTGTGCTAGAGGAAATGTGGGGTTGGCTGCCTGTTATATCCTGTGATGGACAGACTTTGGATCCAATTTCTCAGTGTTTCTGATAGTTACTTTTAAAACACACTTATTAAGGATGATGTTTTTTTACCCCTTCTCCGCTATCCCCACCACACTTTTTTTTTCCTGTTTCCCTAAGGGTAAGGGATGACCTGAAGCCTGGGATGGGCTAGAGCATTCTGTTAGTGAATCTGGAATAGTTCTTGGTATCTTTGCTCCACACCTAGCCCTCACCATGCTCCTGTGAGATTCCAAGACCTTTGCTTCACTGGACAGATGCAATCTCTACCCCTCTTTTACAGGAAGTAAGGTGGGGGGTGTTTTCCTGGAACTTCCAGGTGTAAGAGCTGTGTACAGGAAAAGTTAATGAGACTTCTTAGTGACCTCCCTGGAGGAACAGCACTTCTAATTTCTGCAAAAGAGCATGAATTTTATCTTTATCAAATGGCATGGTGTCCATTCCCCATATTTCACAAAGGGGAAACTAAGACTAAGAGGCTGAGTACCTGGCCATGTGAATCTTGAGGATGGATAATCTGTAGGCCTTTGCTCTTCTGAGAATCTCTCTCTTGGGAATTCTTTCTTGTGTACCCCTGGCCTACTTAAATCCTGCTCTTTTGTCCTGGTTCATTATAAAAAGTCATGTGGTTTTAAAGTCTTTCTTGACCCCTTCCATCCATGAGCTGGACCTTGTGGGGACTTCTAAATCTTCATGGGCTTTCTTGTCAAGACTGTGCTGCTTTACATATGCACAACCATACTAGACTGTAAATTACAGGACGGCAGGGCCAGGTTGGTTTGCTCTGGGTGCGGAGTGTGCACAATAATTACAAGCCCTCAATGAAAGAATGAACAGATTTCGTGGGAACCAGGACTAGAACCCACCTTCCCAGGTGCGCTTCCACCGACCCAGAACCTTCCAGCCTCCTGAATAATAAGAGCCTGGGCTGTTCAGTGGATCTAAAAATTCCCATTGCCCACTACTGCTAGGGAAGAAAGGTCCAGGGGTCCACATCATTAGGAACTGTGAGCTAGGCGGCTAGATCATGGAAACGCGCCACATTGTTAGGGTGATGAGGCCAGGTGACCAGCCGGGCCCCGGGAGCCGGCTGTGGCGATTGCCCGCGCCGCCTCGAGGGGGCCCTGCCTCGGGCGCGGGCCGCCAGCCAGGAGGACGGGCCCGCCCGCGCTCTGATCCGCTCCCAGCCTCGCTGCGGCCATCGCCTGGCCGGACCGCGCCGCGGGCTCGCCCAGGTACTGGGGCCGGGAAGCAGGGGAGAGGCGGCCACGCGCCACCGCGCTCTTTGTTTCGGACCCTGGCGGGTTCCTGCGCCCTGAGCACCGGGACTCGGCTCTGGGCGCGCGGGGTTCCGGAGCTGGGGCGCTGGGGCGCGGGGGCCAGGTCAGGGACGTGCAGGCATCAGGAGCTGGGTGCTGAGACAACTTGGGGCTCGGGGACAGAGACACAGAGGGACCGTGGCTAGGGCGTATGGGGTCCTAGACTAGGGGCGCACAGTCACGGGGTTTGAGGCGGTTAGAAGACCGGGCTTAGCCGAAATAACAGGACAGAGCTGTGGTGAAGGCCAGCTCGGCCGGTGTCGGGAGTTCGGACCGGCTAAGCTGGGGTTGTAGGAAGCGGGCCGGCTGGGTCAGGGCCCGCGGCGCCTGGGCGCCCTGCACCGCGGGCGGGGACTGATCGGCACTGTCGCGGTCGCCGCCGGGCGGACTTCGCTCCCTGGGACACGTTTGGAACTCCGCGGCGAAGAGCAGCTTCTTGGGGCTGCAATGGGAAAGCTCGGGACCCTTCTCCCGCTCTTTGCAGGCAAGTGTCCCGATGCGTCTCTTTCCCTTTCCCTTTGGTGTTTAAGAGGCAGGGCGTCCCTCTGCACCTTTCCTTCCTTCTGAAGGAGCGAGGACTAGGAGGGTGGTGTCCGGGTCCGGGGGCCACCTGTGGCATGCGCCTTCTGGCACGGCGGCGCTACTTCTGACAAGCTGGGAGGAGGAGGGTCCCCAGGTCGTTGGGGTCTCTGAGATGCAGTGCCGCGTTCTAACCAGCGAGCCCTTGGGTTGTTTGCTTGATGCGACTTGAGAATTTGTGTGGCGGGAAGAGAACCAGGAGCTCTCTAGCACTCTTCAGACAGTGCCAGCAGGTGACCCGGACTCTCCAAAGTGATTGGAAAACAAAAAGCGCTCTCCAGGGTGTGGGGCCAGCGGAGACCATTAACGATGGTGGTCGCAACCGCTTGGGAAGATCCCCAGGGTCTGTCGCAGCCTGGTCACACACATTCATTTTCTGAGATTATTTTTCTCATTTTTTTTTTTTTAACTTCTTGATTGTATGGTGATAGAGGGCTCTTAAAATATACTGAAAAATAGGAACGAAGATCAGCTCTTGTGTTAATAACAACTAGCCCGTTAGAACTAACCCCTTTGACATTTTGGTCTGTTTCCATGTGGCTTTTGGTCTGTGCCTTTTAATCTTTTTTAAAATTGCTTTAGTTCTTTCCCTTTTGAATGAGATTTGCCTGTCTGTATGATTTTGATTCTGACCTATTTGGGGCCTGTGAGGTTATATTTGCAAATCAGTCAACATGTATTAAGAAAGGCCTTTCTGTGCTGAGGCCTTGAGGGCCAGGAAGGGGGTGGGGAGTGGCTGCAGCTGGAGGGTGGAAGAGGCAAGGCCAGTGCCCAGCCGGAGCCGGACCTGCACAGAGCGGGGGAGGGGGCCGCAGCAGAGCTGGGTGCTCCAGAGCTTACTGGAGGAAAAGGCCAACCTTCAGGCAAAATAATGGTGAACTCCTAAAGTAATAGGAGCACAATAAAGGGTGCAAGATTATTTGCATTTACCAAATGCTTTGCATGCTCTTATTTCATTTTACCGAATTGACAAGCCCTGGAAGGAGTTGGGGTTATTATACCACTTTAAAGATATGCGAACAGAGGTAAAGCCCAAGATGTTGAAGCATGGGGGTGTAGCCTAGAATTCCTGGACAGGATGGTGGGGTTTTGGGGCTCTTCTCCTGGCTGCTGCTGCACGTCTGACAATTGGATTCTAATGCATGTCTGGACAGCCCTTGCTCAGCTGAGGCTGCCAAAGCTATCAGCAGCAGCAGTTGAATTATTTCCTTAAATACCACCAAGAAGGTAGAAAAAAGTAGTAGCTTCAGGGAACTGCATGCTCCTGAATGCAAATTGATTGGCTTTTTACAAAGTGTTGCTCTGGCACCTAATGTTTTGAAATTGAGTTACTTGGGAGTGTGACCCCAGAGCTAAAGGGCACAGGGTCAAAATATGTTCCTGGGCTGCAGGAGGTGTTGCCCATGAGATAACAATGACCTGGGAAGGAGGCAATGAGGCAAGAAGAGTGAGTGGAAGAAGCCAAAGGGGTCTGGCAATCACAAAACGTTATCTCTGCAGGATTCTTTTTGCAGGACCCATTTAACAGATGAGGAAAATAACAAGCATATTTCTAAAGCCCTGGAATCATTAGGGGACCTGGATGAGCCCAGCCCCTCTGACTCTGTGTGCTGTGGTCCTTTCTAGGATCAGCCTGGAGGAAACTCCCTACATACAATCAGGGGAGGCCTCTATTCCCTCTCAGTGACCTGGTTTCTGAACTTGGTGGTCAGAGATATTTGCTAGCTGAGTGCTTCAAGAGTTCCTTTGGACTTCTCCTGTAGACTTTTCAGGGAGGGGGCTCCTGTTTTGGGGGGAGACTGATGAGTCTGCTCTACAAGGCAGAAACTGGGTAGGAGGACTAATAGGGTCTGGACTGAAGCTTTCCAGGAGGTGCACTCACCTGGGAACCCCTGGGTCCTTCCTGCAGGTCTCTGATAAGCAGCACTTGGATGGAAGGTCATCAGCTTACCTGTACCATCTAGGTGGTAAGCCACCACAACCCAGAGTCCTTTGCTGCTATCCCTGTTGATCTAGAATAAGGGGATCTGGTTAATTGGTTAAGTAAGCATTTGATTAACTTAGAGCTACTTTATTTATCACAGTTAGTGAGAGTGCTCAAAAAAATCAGAGCACAATTATTTCTTTTAATCCTCATAGTGAAACCAAGAGCAGGACACCATCCTCATTGTCACAGGAATCTTCATGCAGAACTGGTATTTAAACACCCTACTGTCTTGCTGTAAGGGTTGTACACTATATTTAAAACACCATGGATTGAGGATGGAGCTCAGTGGTAGAGCACTTACTTGCCTAACATGTGCAAGGCCCTGGGCTAGATCCCCAGTGCTGCAAAAAATAAATAAAAATTTAAAAAATACCAATAAAAGTCACTCTCATGGAAATACCATTGAACATGTGTTCATTCTTAGATTCAGCAAGCATTTTGGATCCTAGAGCATGTTTTGTCCTTATCCAGGTCCATGTCCCATGTACAGTTCTTTGGGTGTAGCTCAGGAGCAGGAATATTGATTTTCACCATGCCCGTTTCTTGTAAAAACGAAAAAACAGCATCTCCAAGTTTCTTTAGCTTTCTGTTTGAACTCTATATCAGGAATGTGTTTTGTGCAGGGGTATCCCACATATCCATGTGATGTGTTCTTCTTGAAGTACCTCCTGCTGTCCAGCTCCTGTTCTCTTAGAAAACCTCCAAGGCTCCACTGGGGACTTTTTCTGGAGAGGAGACCACTAAAGACAGGGTGAACAATGATCAGAGACATCTTGCTTAAGGGTGAAGGTCAGTGCAAATTAGGAGCCCTTGGAATACCCCATTGTGTCAGGGAAGGAGATGATAATTGATGTTCATCAGAACCACCCCTATACTCTTTTTTTAAAAAAATTTATTTGTTTTAATTGGTTTATCCCTAGACTCTTAAAAAGAATTTTGTTGATTTTTTTTAATACTAAGTTTTGTTCTAAGTTGGCAAAATGAATGAAAGATGGGTGATCTAGACATTTTTTTCCTTCAGAGCATCCCCTGATCAAGCCAAGGAGTGCTTCTTGGAGAGACCACCCAAGGAGAGGTTCTCTCTGTATTTGTCTCCATTCCCTGGGTTGGTCAGGAAGCCCCCAGAAGCCCTCCGCAAATGCTTGAGTAGCCATGCCAGCTTGAGAGGCTTTCTATCCATGATCTGATTGTTGCTCATCCATGAAAGTCGTCCTGATTGTCTCCATTTTCTGTAAGAGCCAAGCTTGAGCAACTTGCCCATGTCATGGGACAGCAAGTCTTGAATTTGAACTCAGGCCTGCAGTGCTTAGAGCCCTTGCGGAGAGGAGGGATTTTCCTAGTCACTGACTCATGGCCCAGCCTCTCAAAGAACCACCTTGCCCCTACTTGAGTGGGCAGTCCCAGGCTCCAGCTCAGGGCATCCGCCAGCCTCTGCAGCCAGGCTCCAGCCCCAGCTGCTTCCTCGGACACTGAGACCAGTCTTTCTTCTCTTCCTTCCTCTCTCAGCTCTAATTATGGTGTGTTAAGTTGCCGTCCCTTCCTCTTCCTCTTCTCTTTTTGGAGAGATAATCACATTTATACACCCTTTCCAGGACTGGCTTCTATCTTCATATATATATATTTTTTCTTTTCTGGTGGTGCTGAGGAATGAGCTAGAAGACTCTCAGAAATCCTGACTCTGCCCAAGTAGCACCCTGGAAGTTTTTTTCTTTTCTTTTCTTTTCTTTTTTTTTTTTTGGTTTTGGATATTTTGAACCCAGGTGTGCTGCTTTACCACTGAACTACATCCCCAGTCCTTTTTAGTTTTTATTTTGAGACAGGGTCTTGCTAAGTTGCTGAGGCTGGTCTTGAAATTGTGATCCTCCTGCTTCAGGCTTGCAGGTCTCTGGAATTACACACAGGCACCACCAAGCCTGGCACCCAGGAAGTTTTAACAAGGGCGTCCTGCTAATGATTATGAGCACTCCCCCTTTCCAGGTCACACCCCATAGCACCAGGAGACCTTTCCAGGTGGACCAAAGGGTGTCGTCTTTCATGGTTTCTTGGCAGCAATAGTGTGACATGGCGCCACTTGTGTGTAGATTTTATGAAATGTCTATGATAACTAGTTGGTTTTTATACACCAGTACACAAGTTGCAAGAGTGAAAGAAAGAAACTGCTGAGGAATTGGTGGGCAGGGCCGTTCAAGGCCGTCTGCAGTTGCTTCTCTTTTTACAGGACAGCCCTGCCCACTCCAGGCTCCTGGGAGTTGGTTATTTCCCACCAGAGGGTTCAGGAATCCACGTTCTCCCCATTACCTTAGAGCACAGCTGCAGTTTGCAGCATTTCACTCACTTGAGGGCCGCACAATAAACTGCGCAGGCCCACATCTGGCCAGCCTGACGGCCCTGGGGCCATGCTGGGCCATTAGCCAGGGTGTCTGAGTCTGTGCACATTCCTTCCAGAACAAAGGCCTCCCTTGGCCTGGTCCTGGCGTTCCTCTCTACTTTGTAATCCTCACCTTTCCTAGAGATTTCCCTGGGCACTCACCCCTCTCCCCACTGGCCATTTTGGAGGTAGATCAAAGGTGTGTTCAGGCTGAGAGGCAATGAAATAGTCCAGGCTCTGGCATCTCACAAACCTGGGGCAAATCTAGCCTTTGTCCAGGGAGATTTTGGTCATTCCTCACCTACAGCCTGGGATGCACTCGCAAGGGATCCTGAGCTTGGGGTGGGAACTACAGCAGGGTGCTACTTTGTGTGACTGCTGCCCTCCCTGCTTGCTGGCTCTGGCCCCAGTACTGCTTTGGTCCTGATGAATTCCCCTGACCCCTGGGGTCTGAAGAGCACCTTGCCTGCTGCCAAGAAGACTTCCCCCTTCTTGGAGGTGTTATCTGATTCCCAGCTGGGGGGTGGGGAGTGCATGGGATGATGACTAGATGA